CCATGGATAGAAACTGTTCTTTAGTCTGTTGGTCCTGCCTTTGTGTGATCTGAATCTTCTTCCTGACGGCAGCAGGTTGAACAAGTGCTGTCCAGGGTGAGATTTGTCACCTAAGGTGTTCTTTGCTCTGCTGAGGCAGCGTGAGCTGGCGATGTTCTCTAGGGGGGGCAGAGGGCAGCCAATGATCTTATCGAACATAATGGCCCTGAAGTGAGCAATGTTAGGGTGAAAGCAGGTTAGACAGACGTAATGACACAGTCAGAATTACAATTCACAGCAATACAAACAAGCCTGCTTGTAAGTTATGCATGAACGCATTAAAAACATTTACTGATTTCCCATTTAACTTACATAATACAAAACTGCATTTTTTAAAAAATGCCTCAAGGACTGAATGTTTGAAATCATTGTCAGAACATGAATAAATATCACAACATGGTAAATGAGCAGTGATATAAACTCATCATACGTATCAAATGAAAACATGGTTATCCAACGCACCACCCATTAGGAACAGCAAGTGCATATGTTTGACAATATGAGGCTAAAAGGCTTTTGGAGATACAAATGAAAACAGCTTTGTTTAGAATACCATTTAAGAATACAGCTTTCTTCCAAGAAGAGATACGTCAAAAGGGTTTTGATTTAAGTTTTAAGTCATTTTTAAGTCCATGTCCGTAGTTTGTGGTGTTGTAGTATTGGACTGGTTATACTGTTTTGCCCACAAAACAACAGTTTCTACATGACTTAATGTTTCTATATTTCTTTTACAAAGGGCCTTAGCTCATTTACAGATTGCTGCCTTTTATGACACAATACTGCAAGAACGAGAACATTCAAATATGTTAATGTACTTTTATAGAGCAAAACCGGTACACAAAGGTTTCACACGCTTCTTAAATTCTCAGATCAGAACAATGCTTTATGGTACAGGAAGCTGACTGCTGTCAACAGCATTATCTAGTTGCTTTTTTTCTTTAGGTTGGTTATCTATAATTCACATCTGTTATTCGACTTCCTTCTGCTGGTATAACCCTTACATGTCCATGCAAACTGTTAAGTCCGTTTTGTGTTTTATTGAATACTGGGCAGATTTGAAGGCATTGCTACATATTAGATTAAATGGATAGTGGATGAATATTAAGAATCATTGTGTCCATTTAATGAGGAATTCTCCACATACATTTCTGTGGAAGAAAGATACCTGATACTGCTATGGTAGTTTAAAAATATACTCTGCTGTGGTTAGATGTGCAACAGACCTCATGTCTAAACCCACTGCATTCAGACATATGTGCTATTGCAGAAGTAGAGTGGGATTGCCATTTCAGCAATGCTACATCATGTCTAGGACAGATTGTGACAAAGCAGTACAACTTGGTAGCTGGGAGGTAAAGTGTGCTAGTAAATGCATGACCTTACAGAAACTGGCAAAGTTTTAAATCATTAGCTTGTCTTACTGTTGTTGTTTGTCAGTGATGAACAGCAGCAGAGACATAGAGGGAGAGGGGTAGAGGTTATTTTAATGTTTGACTTGAACGGAACAAGGTGTTTAAAAGGTGATTTCACCTTGACATGAGTCTCTTGTGCAATAAGTAAACCATGCTGTTTTAGTTTGGATCTTGGAAGGAGCATTTTGAAAATAGGACTATGACTTCTGTCAATGTTTATCTAACATCTGCATGGGACACTGTATGAAGAAGGTTGAATCCAAGTAACTTCACAGGAACTTCACAGGAACTTACATACACGTACATCTGCAGAAATTTCAGACAGTCTGACAAAGTTGTAAAAGGCTATTTAGGTCTAAGCTATGAAACACAGCAGGGTTAAGACATCACTTCTCTGCTGTTTGCAATTCTGAGCACTGACAGTACTTCTCCAGAAACTCTAACCACGAGGTTTGAAAGAGGATGCACCTGCAAGAGATGACTTCCATCATAGCGTCATTTTTTTTCTGCATGATAATAACTTCTATTAAACTTGATGGTGTAATAAAAACTGTATCTTTCCTCAGAAGAAACATTTTAGATGGCATAACATGTTTAAAGCATGTTGTCTGGTCTGCTGTTTCTTAGGTAGCAAAATACCAAAGACGAAATACAGGTCTGAATATCCCTGATGTGTTGTTTCCAGGATTAACCTCACGCCTTAAATCATAATTTAACCTATAATGCATGCAATGTAGCTTAAAATAAATAAAATTCACAACATATGTGTACAGCACTTACGCACAGTCACTTCAGAGAGTATTCAGATCCCTACACCTTATGTAAACTTTACTGTATTGTGATTAAATCTATAATGAATAAAATTGGTGATTCCCCCAATTATCTATACGCAATAATTCATGTGGAAAAAGTGAAAATACTCCAAGTTGTGGTCAGGCTTATACTGTTTCTTTTAGGTATCGTTCAGATGTGCTTATAACTTGTGTCAAACTCTGTATATAAAGATCCAATCCACACAGCATGACAGGAAAAGGACAGTGTCATCATGTCCAAGGAACCACAACGATAAAACTGTGGTGAGAAAAACAGTCGTCCTCAAATGTATTCATACCCTCCCATTAAAGAAGGAAAAAAACAGCTGTCACTGAAATAAGTTGGAACTGACAAAAGCAATAACAACAATTTTGCAAAAATCATGAAATTGCTTTTGAATTGTGGTTCAACAGAAATATAACAACAAACAAACTGTAGGTCACTATCTGATAAAACAGAAAAGGGAACTCGAAGCACAATATCCGATGCAACATCTGTATTTTTCCACCACGGCAATATGCAGAGCAAACCAGAAAGCAGGGTGAATTTGACTTTCTAAAAAATAAAGTAGAACCATCTTATTACTACATCTATGTGTCAGCTGTTCACCAGTAAATCCCTAATGAGTCATCCTTTTTGAAGAATTAAGCAAAGTGCATCAGCTTAATGAGTGAATTGTCGCCGATGTTACGCATAAAATGTAATAGTGAGGGTATTAAATTATTTCTAAGGCTTTGAGTGTTCCCAGGAGCACCTCAATAGTTGTGAAATGGAAGATGTTTGGAATCACCTGGACTCTTCATCGCCATCTGGCCAAACTAAATAACCAACAAAGTAAGCCCTTTGTCTGACAGGAGACAAGGAACTGAACAGTCACAGCCTGTGCAGAGATGGAAAACCTGCCGAAAGCACAACCATCTAAGCTATAGTCCATCAAGCAGGGCTTTACGGTAGAGCAGCCAGATGACAGTCATGATCGTCTGTTTGGAATTTATCAAAGAGCATTTAAAGGACACGAAGAACTTAGAGAATGAGATTCCCTGGTCTGACAAAGCAAAACATTCTTCAAAAACTCTTTGAGAAGGACTCTAAGCACAATATCTGGTGAACACAGGGCACTGCTCACCACCTCCTAATACCATCCCTACAGAGAAGCATGGCGGGCAGCATTCTGCTATGGAGGTGGTTTTCAGCAGCAGGGACTGCTACAAGAACTGTGCAAAGGATGAACGCAACCAAATACAAACAGGTACTGAAGAAAACTTGCTCAAGAATGCAGAAACCTGAGATTGGAGCGATGGTTTATCTTTAAGCATGACAATGATCCAAAGCAAACAGTCAAGGAAACTCTGGGGTTCCTTCAGGACAAGTCTCTCACGGTCCTTGGGTGCCACATGTAAACCCTGCAGACCGTCTCTGGAGAGGCCTGAAGATGACCGTCCCGATACACATCCAATCTGATGGAGCTTGAGAGAATCATCCAGAAAAAAATGGAATAAACTGGACAAATTTAGGTATCCGCAGCCTGTAGAAGCTTACCCGAGCAGAGTGGAAGCTTCTGAATCACTGCAAAAAGCCCTCTACAAAGTGCAAACATAAGTGTGAGGGTGAGGCCAGCAGACCCAAAAAACCAGTGAGGAGGGCCCGCTCTGTGGTGGGGTTTGAACTGGACAGTCTGGAGTCAGTGGCTGAGAGGAGGATAAAGGAACAAATCAAAGCCATCCTGGTTAAACCCCTCTCATCCTCTCCACGATGAGCTATGGGCAGCTCTTTCAGCCAGCACATCATCCCAACAAGATGCAGAACTGAGCGCTTCAGGTGCTCCTTTGTGCCCACTGCCACCAGACTGTACAACGGCAGAGGACTGTCCTCACACTCAACAGCCCCCAACACACAATAACAATGACACACACACTCTGTCACAAACTCACACAGGTACTCTCACACTAAGTCACTTTAGATTGCCATTTGAACTTCAGTTGTACATACTTTTTTCCCTTCTTTTCTTTATATATATATATATATATATATGCATACTTTTATATTTTTATCTTTTGTATTCTTTTTGTGCCACTGTCTTGTGCTATTGCAATGCCCGTATATTTCCCCTATGGGGATCAATAAAGAATTATCTTACCTTATCGTATGTTACTTTATATTACTCAGTGTAGAGTGATGGGAAACTTGTCTATTTGAAATTAAATCTACAACACAATAAAGTGTGCAAAAAGTGAAAGGGTCTGAATCCTTTCTAAAGTGGCTGTACATGTATATTGTAAATACTGTATTGTTTTCTTGAGGCTCATCTGCACTGAATGTATGCCATAATAAGCATTATGTAACATCTTACTACTGTGCAGAGAACCTGATCATTCGTTTTCCTTAAAAAGCATGGTACATGTTTGTAATTGTCTGTTGTGACCATTTCCAGACATGATACCAGACATGTGGAGGCATGATGGTTTCATATAGACAGTCACCTGAGGAATTTCACGAGTATTGCTATTCTGCCGGAAAAAACACCTGATACTCCCAGTTTCCAAATAACACTTTGAGTGTAATACAGAAAGTCACCTTCTGTTGTCACAGTGACAAATCAAAATTTGCAATTGGCTCAGCTAGAAAGCTTGAAAACATCTTTCAAGCTTTGCTTCTCTGTCAGCTGAGCCCCTCTCTTTAAACCACACCTCCAGCTGACTATAAATTCTTCCTCTCTGAAGGATCGGTGGTAGCCTCACACAGACAGTGCAGACGTACTGTGACAGGGTATTTTCTCTTTTTTGTACTCAGTGCTGTTCTCCAGCGCACGCTGTGTTAACAGTGCATGTTTCCTCAGCATGTTTTGGCACGGACAGACAAGGCTTGACAGAGCTCAACAATCACCGTAAGGCTCTCCGAAAGGGACTGTTGAATTTGACGGATCAGAGTGAGAAGGGGGATCTGTGGCTGAGGAGAGAAGATTCAAGGCTGAAAAAGCTACAACCACCTCCAGACGAAGGATTTAACTTTGTGATACCTGCCTGGAAACATCTTTATTACACTTCTCCTTTCTGTTACTGTAATATTGCAAAAAAAAATAATATCACCACTTTGACTGCAACTTCTACTGCTACTGTGGAAGTAGGGCAGATTTCAGCACTTTGATGTCCAGCCAACAAAATATGTCTACAGATAGAATGCTTGACCACTGCAAAGCACCAAATAATGGGACTTACCAAGCCCTCTCCTATCTGATGATAGGAGAATTTGTGCTGGGTTTGCCTCTCAACCTGTCCGTCCTCTACATCTTCGTCTTCAGGTATGAATGAACACAAACTTAATCTCTGTATCACTGTCTTTTCCTTATGTTTAGAAAGTACTTGAAATTACAACAATAATACATAGTGTAGACATGTGAGAGGACAACAAAAGCCATCAGAAAACTATCATGAAATCTTTAAGTTAAATGGGAATAGCAAGAACAGTCTGGATTACCTGCTAACACTAGTACTTTCTAAAACCTGGGTAGCTTTTAAATCCTGATATCTCAGCCTTGTAACTGTGCAGAAGAAACTGTAATAGATAGATGCTCCCTCCAGCAAAGAAGAGGAAGACACTGTTAACATCCTCTTTGGAGTCTCGTTTGTTCTTAGAAAACTTGACAAAATCAAGTCACTCTAAACTAACTCTGTTAATTTAAAAAAAAAAATCAGTATGAACGAAAAACAAAGCTGAACTTAGCTTCAAAAACTCCCCTAAAGTTGTAAATGATTCATATAACTAACTTTCAACCACAAGGAACACCATAACATTCAAAGGGGAAAACAGGTTAAGTATTTTTTTACTTGAAAAGGTTGAACACAGAGAAGCAGAGATGCGTGTACTACATAGAGACTGACTGATAAATGTGGTAAATGTGGAGAGCATTGCGCTCTGGGTAAAGGGTAACTATGACGGTACTATAGCGGCTTCCAGCTGGCACACTCCGGCCAGCGTTTTCCTTGATACCTCTGTATATTTCCCTTCAGTGAAATATGCAGAGCAAAACAAAAAGCTAAACCCAACCTATTAGTGCACATATGTGTCTGTTGTTTATCAGTTGATCCTTTATGAATTATCTTCCTGAAGCATGAAGCAAAGTGCATCAGCTAAATAAGAGAACCGTCACAGATGTTACGCATGAAACGATCTGTATCGCGGACTTCTTTTGTTTTGTTTTTTTGCTCCTCTGATGAAAAATTAACTGTGCATTACTTCTCCTTAGGTTCAAGTTCTGGAAGAACAAAAGCATCTTCCTGTTCAATATCGTGGTTGCGGATTTCTTGCTTGTGGCCTTACTTCCTGTCAAGGTCTACCATTACCAGCACGGCGTGAGGCGCAGCGACAATGATGTGGTTTGTAAAATGATGCTTTTCATGCTGTTTCTCAACCGAGGAGCCAGCATAGCCTTCCTCATCATCCTGTCCCTCGATCGCTACTTCAACGTGGTCCATCTTGGAAGGAGAAATTGTGTCAACGTGTTTAAGAAATCTCCTCAGATCTCTGTCATCGTCTGGCTCCTCTTGCTTCCCCTCACCATCCCCACCATGGTCAAGACTTTTGAGTGCTGCAACAGTCACGGCCGTGTAAAGGAGACGTATGCGCACGATGTGACGGACACCTTTAGAGAGGTACTGCTTCCATTCTTTTCGTTTAAACTTAGTTCTGTTTGACTTTGCATTGACACAGCTGTAAAATATTTACCTGTGATATGAAAAATACAATGAGAGCATAAGCAAAGTCCCAATAGCTAAACTAACCTTTCAACTCATAAGAAGAACTACAGCTGTTTGCACTACCTCGCTGACTTGCTGTACAGTTGACATTACCATAATAAAATATTAACTTTAATGGCAAATCTAATCCCCCCTGTTCCCTGACTGGCAGCTCGCTACGGGCCGCAAAAAGAAACTTGTCCAGGCAACTGAATTGTGTTTTTTTTTCCTACATTAACAGTCTGAGGCCTTATATTTTAAGTATTTGTCAATTAAATAACTACTCAAGCTATTTATAATTTTGGTTGACTTGTTTATTGAATTTGTCGATACTGATACATTTTTAGCATTTAAAAACATTTGAACATTTTTGAACCTTTTATAGACTGAAGAGAAAACAATGATTGAGGGGGGGAAAAAATCTATAAATGAACACCAAATAAAGACAACTGGTCGCATAGTTCTTTTCATTTTAGAAATTCCAATTCTTCCAATTTAATTGTATTTTATTTTTTAGCATATACATGTTATAATGTCTTTCACACAACAGGTTTTTATGAAAACAGTCTCTTATGTTCTACAAAGAGAGTGCAAGTACTTTGAAATAATGAAATGAGGAGCTGTCCAACTTTTAGCAAAAGCGTAATTTTTTTTTGGGTGGAGATGACTGGGACAGATGAGCAACTTTATTCTAAGAGCGGGGCTTAGAATTGAGTCCATAATCTCAGTAACAAAGTAACTTTTGAGTGAGACACACACATAATAAATTGTGTCGACACGCTGCAGTAAATTTAAGTATATTTTATTCTATGAGCTACTGCCATCATTCTAAATAGTGTCTTTTTCATTTTTTTTAAGGTGGTCTTCTTTATCCAGATCATTATCCCCTTCATCATCCTGGTCTACTGCACGGTACGCATTGTCAGCCGGCTGAAGAAGAAAACAGTCGGGGAGAAGACCAAACTGAGGAGAGCTGTGTGCGTGGTCATGTCAGTTGTTGTTGTCTTCGCCATCTGCTTCCTGCCCTGCGCTATAGCCAGAGCCGTGCTGCTGGGCGTCCGGCTGCAAAATATGCAGGGAGCAGAGGACATAGCGGTTCAGGTGTACGACAGCCTCATGGTTTTGTCTTACACTGACTGTCTGCTGGACCCGCTGGTATACTGCTTCTGCAACTCAGGGTTCAAAGATGCTTACATATCCACCTTCTGTCCTACATTTCTTCAGAAGAAACTGTTGACCTATGACTCTGGGATGGGAACCAAAGCAACTACCACAACTTCTGGAGGTAGAACTAATTCAGTGCCGATAATCGAGAAATGAATGTTTTTTTTCTGATAAACTGAGATCCTATCTCAATGGTAGCATAGGCATTGTATTTACTATTACATATCAGTGTGGACATCAGTGATCCACACACACAGTGGATTTTAAGCTAATCTGACAGATTATTCTCTGAAAAATCTCAGAAAAACCACGTTGACATTTTAAGGTCATCAAATGCCCTTTACTAGAAGGTGGCACACATGGCATGTGGTGAGTCTGTCGACCAGAATGCAGGTCACAGATCATCATACACTAAAAAAACAGATCAGTGTTTTTAAAAGCCTTCTACAGGAGACAAAGAAAACCTTTTGCACTTTTGCAATGTCAAATGCATACTGACGTAGACTCAGTAAGATGTCGTTAGATTGTCATCAGTAGTTCTGTTATCTCTCCTTGTAAATAAATCACCAAATCGCAACCTGCACATTTACATATGAAGGTGGTTGCTCAACCAAAATATTACAAACATGAATGTAGGTGTACAGAGCATTTAGGTGGAAAAACAGGTTCACTTATAAAGTCGAGATCCTGTCTGACTGGTGCACTCACATGGCTTTATATTATGTAGCTGCTGCCTGATCTAATGCAAAATTCAGCACTTATTTGTAACGATAGGAAACAATGTGTTAGATGTAAATGTACATATCAGCTGCATGCTTTAAATAGTACAATTTAAATAGATATTTAACAGCATTATTTACTTGAATATATTGAAGCATTTTTTATTTATTAGGATCTCTTTCAAACCAGATGTGAAGGATCCGAGATTATGGCATTTCTCTTGTGACTGCATATGCTGGCCTTGCAATACCTACAGAGTAATCAGCATTATAGTGTGGAGAGCCCAACATACGGTTTAGCAGCTTGTTAAAAGTCACTGTACTGAATGTTTGCAGAGTTCTCATTTACCTCTCAGGACACTCTGCATAGCTTAGCATCATGTTTATTATCTATACCTCGAATCAGCTGGATCCGTCCTTATGGGGGTTCACAGTCAGAGCATATTGTGAATTGTGAATTCTATTATGTGTTCTGACATTGCCCCCAAAATGCACATTTATATGTCAATGCCTTACAGCTGCGTCATCTGTCTTGAGGAAGTCATTTCTTTCTGTGGTCTCACTCACGCTGCTTGTCTCAAGCCTCACCGATTGTTCATGTTGTTGAATGTTGTAAACGAGTATTGTGGTGTTCCAACCACCACTCCAAAAATGTCAAATCCAAGTGGACGACGAAAACCTGGAGAGCCGTATTAAACCTTCCTCATTTAAACTGTGTACATTTTTTTGCAATTCTGATGATCTAAATTGAATTATTTGTATAAGACTGTGATACTGACTGAAGATCTTTGTTTACTGCTGCTGTAAATACACAGAACATATCTAAGGGAGAGAGTCCGCAAGAGAAGAGTGTTGTCTTCTCTCTGCAAAACATCTCATTACATTAAAATGTAGACTACTGTCATATAAACACAACCGTGCAAAGTTTCGCTGTAAAATCCCCTAATGGTTTAACTTCATCCCAAACATCTACAGAAAGCCATGCTTCCACATCCTCCTTATGATCCTTGCAATGTCCAAATATTGGCACTGCTGCTCGGCCTTTTGAGGCTCCATGTTCCACCCTTTTGCAGGAGGGTGCTACAGTTTGTTCAGCTTGTGCATGTGCACGCCGATGGCAATAACATGAACTTATCTACAACAGCTCAAGTTCAAGCAGAGCATTTCCACACACCTAGTTTATCCATGCATCATTCCTATTTTGACATTTCTGAACAACATTTTGGGGTGTTCACCTTTTGCACTGGCGAGGCGAACCAGGTGTTGCAATAGGAAGCAGTGGCTGTCAAGTTGAGGCTAGCAGTCTCTCAGCCAGATTACCACAACAACAACAACACAGAACATTATTTCATTATTGTTCTTGCATTTTTTGTTGTTGTTCTTTCTGCAGAGTGGCTCCACGCTCTGTCTGCCTCTTAATAGCCTTTAATGGCTAAATGACCCAGCCTCAATCTGAGAGCGGTTTTATGGGATTTAGCTCATTATGATAAGTGACAAGTGCTGATTTGGAAACTTGACAAATTCAGGGTGAACAGACAAACAGTGGCAATTTCTTGTCTTCTTGTGATTCTAATTCAAGTTGTCATCCTTCAGTAAATGCATCACTTGCAATGAACCTGCTCTGTGCTGTTGAAGTTTAAGATGGTGAAATAAATTGTTGAAAGTGCTTAATCCCAACACTGAAAAACAGATTTTCACACTGGATGTACGGACAGGAGTGTGTATTGTCCAACACTGACCTGTTCCCAGAAGAGTCATCAGTCTACTCTGCTCCTGTAGCACCTTGTGGATCTGCTCAATTTGCATCTGAACCACCTCATATGGATGATCAGGAGCCTGCAAAGAAACACACACACTTCAGTAGTGACAACCAATGATTGTGCCAAGCAGTTTGAGATGCAATAATGTGATGTTTTACAGCCATCTAGTGGTAAGAAAGCAAACTGGGCTAGTGGTTGACAGGCCTGATCGCTAGGAACAGACACATGAAACAGGTATATGTCCTCCTCTGTACAGGCATAGCATCCTCCTCAATATTTTGTTTGTAAAACTAAGCGGGCTTTTGATTCATGAGTACAATAATCAGTAGAGTGCTGTGGATTTACAAATAATGTAAATGTTCAAATAGAAAGTGTGTGCTCGTCACAAACATCAACTGGAGTTAATACTCAACAAACTGTGTGTTAAGATGCATGTGCAGCCACATGCTAACAGCAAAAAAAAATAGGATGATAGTTTATTTGTGGTCCTTAAAGTCCCTCTTTAGTCACTGATTAAATGTCCATAATATATTTTCTCCCATGAAAAGAATCCCTTCCTGCCCTAAAATGTTGTAGACGTAACTCTACACCATTGCTTCTTTTAGAATGCACCAATCTACAACTCTGCTCACACACTAAAACTATTCTGTGCTACGCAATGGCAAGTTCTAATGTTGGAGTCATTCAGCTGTACAGGTCCAAAGTAGAAACTGATTCTGAAGAAGAGTGATACAAAAAGCCCAACCTGCAACTTGACAGGACTGGTTCTTTTGGTTTGTTATGTATGAAAACCCAGATCTCTGAATCTGCAGTTTCAAGGTGGAAATTTCCCACCACTGTGTTAACTGTGTATTTTGGTCATGGTGTGTTTCCATCACACCAAAAAACACCACGTGGACAAACTAACAAGGGAAAAACTGGATTTGCACCTGAGAAGGGATTTAATTTCAGCACTTATTCCAGGTATAAACTGGGATTTGTGTGGCCCCTTGTCCAGTGAGAACTGGGGTTACAAACCACACTGGAACAGCTTGTGTTCATTCATTATCAGCCCTACTATCTGTTGTTAAGGGACTGGATAAGCATCATGAGTACAGCAATGCCACAACTTTAAATATTAGTGCATTTATGTTACAAAACTGAAAACTCTCCGTGATAATCCACTTGACAGGCCAGACCAAAATATACAATAAAACATTTTTAGACTTCCAATCCAGAAAGTGAAACTCTACAGTTTGCTGTGCAGAGAAGCATTTACCTTGACAAGATAACGTTGCAATGACACACGAGAAGATTAAATTAATGTTAGTTTGGAGACAGTATCAACAGTATCCAAGCTGCTGCTGTGTGAAGGCTCTGTGTAATAAATTCAGAGAAAAGAATACCATGTTTGTTCAGCGTGAGACAGTATCTGAAAACTAATTTCAAGAATCGAATGGAAGTTGTATGCAATTTGAATACAGGAGGTGGAGGTCAGCTCCAGTGGGCTCCGGCCCTGCCTCTACTGACTACATGTGTTGGCTGGATTTTACTTCACTGAGACTACAAAAGCAGTTGTCTGCCTTCTCTGCAGATATTTTCTAAAGAATGACTGCTGAACATTGCTGCAAACTAGATAAGTAAGACATTCTCTAAAATAATCCAAGTAATCAAAACATTTTTTAAATATTCATTTGATATTTATGTGAAAATATTCTGTGGTAGATTTAATCCATGAGCGTTTAGACAATATCATAAAGATTTACTTACTTGCTGATTTGCAGTCTGAGAGGCACAAACATCGAGGTTGGCAGCAGGAGGCTTAGGTTGGCCAACAGAGGCAGCATTATCAGGGCTCAGCAGGCGGGGGAGAGAAGGGTGACACATGCCCACCACTGGATCACTCTGCAAGGCCAGCAGTCCGTCCCCCTGGTGCTCAGCTGCACTGATTCCAGAGGTGGGTGAGACAGACGCTGGAGAGTCAAGTGACTGATCTGAATCTGTCGGCGTCCTCTGATGCTTTTTCTCCACTGGGATTTCAGCAGACATTGTCGGAGGATGCACACTTGGTTAATAGACGCCTTTATGCTGAACTCGTTTTCATCTGAATACCAGCTGCAAAAGTAGATCAGAGCAAGATAACAACAATGCTGCAGTGCAATTAAAATTAAATTTAAGGCTATTACTTTATAGAGAACGACTCAACCTGTCCTGTAACATGTTTTATTCTGTATTTTAGCCTCACTCCCATTTGGGACAAAGCATTCAGAATATTAAATATGTGTAGGTTTGAAGAACTTGCAGTGCTGGAGTATTTTATCTTCACGTCAAGACTCGAGAATTCGGAAAGTGATTAATTGCTTATTAATTGAAAACCATTAATTGCTGCATACAGGTGAGAGCATCAGTAATAATAATAACAGAATAGCAGAATACTTCCTCCCACACAGTCCAAAACCATGTTGAGGTTAATTGGTGATTCTAAATTGTCCGTAGGTGTGAATGTGAGTGTGCTTGGTTGTCTGTCTTCAAAAAAATGTCAAACTCTCATAAGGTTTTAACAGAGTGCCAATAGCTACTGGGATGTGTTAAATATTGATAGAAAAATCATCATGTTGTCATTTTTCCAGTGGGCCAGTCTGGTAAGAGAGTTCTAGAGGGGTAAAAATAGAGTATACTCCAAGTTGTTGTCCCACATGAATCCCTCAACTTTAAATTCTGACTTTAAACCAGTAACAAATGAGTCATAAAATAAATGGCCAAGGTATGATAAAGGTGCCTTAATCTCTGCCCAAATTATCAGTTACACGTGAGTGACAAAGCTAGCTGCTATCATGAGCATGTTTTTAAGCTATGTGCTAGCAAAAATGTCTTTAAAAGATAAAAATGCAATACTAGTTAAAATTTTAAACAATACTTTGAACACAGTTTAAAAGGCAAGTGTATATGGGATTAATTAAGCCTTATCTTGTATATCTCAGACTACACACTGACTTTCTTTTTTGTGTGTTTTTCAGTTTCAGCCAAACTAAGATGGCTGCCAGAAATTTGTTTTCCTTCCTGTTGTTTGTGGTTTAACCAAAGCCAGAGCTAGCCAACTCTAACCAAACATATCTCCTTCGCAGACAGTTTCTCATTGTTGAAAATTGAGGCACATATGCGTGTGTTTTTTTAAACTTTGAAATGTATATAAAAAATGTATATAACTTTATATACAATATAACACATGTTTAAGGAGTGGCAGGGATGCTTTTGCTAATTAGCACTCCATTAGCCTAGCCACTTTTTGATCTTGGCTGAGCAGGAAGAAGCTTATAAAGAATAATTATTGTTTTTTTTTTTTTCCCCCAGCTGAATATAGGAGTCCAAGGAAGCCGGAAACCTACCCAAAGCAATATAAATGATCAAGCTTTTCTTTTAAGGCTTTTATGTTCACATTAGTTACAGGCCCTTTATGATTTTAATGCAGTTAGCTGTTCATTAGCTAACAACCCAAACGTCTCATGTTTCACGATGTGTAACACTAAGGCTGTTTACCATCAAACCACATTGGGGGGGAAAAATCGAGATATTTAGCTAATGTACAAACTGGGTCAGTTATTATTTTTTTGGTGATGAACATTTTTAAAACAAAGAAAGAAAAGAACAAGTGGTTGCGTCATATATTATGTAGAGTCAATTATATGGATATTTCTTTGTTCCAGCTCGCCTCATTAAAACCTAAAGCTGTTGTTTCATCAATAACCAACACGTTTGCATTTTCTCCCTCAAGAAAAAGTTAAACTCTTAACAATGAGTGTCATCTGTAGCTACACGTTTAATTAATTAAACTTTGCTCACCTGTTGTCGCGCATCAAGCTGAGCTGAGTTACCGTAAAGGGTTCGTTGACTGTTGCTACAGTTACCGAGCTTCACCGTATCAACACACTGTTTTATACACAGTTAATCAACTAACAAAGATCAAACATCATTAAAACAAATAACATCTATTCGACTGTGAATCCGTGTGTGTGGAACTAAAACCTTAAAAATAAAGTATTATTTTAGCTCTAAAGTTTCCACAATGTGTGACACTTTCAGTTAACACCTTTCAAAATAAACCCCCGGTAACGCGTTTGAGGCTTTTATTTATTTATTTATCTATTTATTTTTAAAGGTAAAAAACCTTTTTTTCCTCTTTTTTTTACTAGCTAATAATTTCAAATTTTTTAAGTTTTTTTTTTCGAAATTGAGAACATTTATGAAGTGTAGGGAGCAAATTATTAGGCTTGCATCTCATTATTAAAATCCCATTATTTCAAAAAAAGATTTTTTTTAAAATCATAAACAGCAGTAATTGGGTTTGTCAGTCTTTAAAGATTGAACATCTTTGATTTTAAGGGCCTAGGATGGATATAGATTTAGAACATTTTGAGTTTTAGTAATTTGTACTGCCCTTTATAGTGTTGTGGTAACACAGTCTAATGTATGAGGTTTTACACCCATTTGTGCATTAGTAAATAATTCTCTTTAAGTGTGAGCCGGTCTGTTGTGTTCACTTTAACCTTTTAATCTCCAAGAAAGACTGAATTCTGTGTAATGGCTCACTGGGTTTTGATTCATGTGCTCCTAAAAGACACCACAGGATGGCAGCAGAGTCAAGCATTTTAGCAAGAGACAGCTTCAGGATCAGGCCTCAATGTAATGTTCAATGGAGTTGAGCTTAAAAACTGATAGTGATTGTATAAATTGAAGTGTTTGTATACCATTTAAAATTCGGAGCATAGAGAGTATTTTTTAATTTTAGTTTCCGCTGCAGGATTCTGTTACAACCAGTCATTGATTCTAATTTTAAACGTTTGCATTGGTAATCACAGTCAGAATCACAGGTTGGCCAAAATAAGACCTTTACTTGAAAAAGTCACTAATTTGAGCTATGACGTCAGCAGGATCATAACTGTATGAACCAGGCTTCAGTGCTTCACGCTTCTCGATATTCAGTGCACCAGAGACAATTCAGTTGGTACCAAAAGCTTACTGAAGCTCAGAACTCATTCTCTTTGTTACGGTAATTGTCAAGTTCTAAAGGGGCTAAAAATAGTTGACGCAACATTGTTCAAGGATGCTGTGGCCTCACAGTTTCTCAAACAAAAGAACATTTGTGAAATGATTATGTGAATCCTTTTGTAAAGTTAATCTCAACCAGCACATCATCGTCAAACCCTACAGTTACAATCATTCATCGCATCCTGCAGTTCAACGTGGACGTCGTCAAACGGCTTGGTCAGAAGTAGAAGGTAAACGCCTCATAATTATGAGAAATAATAAAGTATCAAGCATCAAAATAACAATTCAGTCATTTTCTTAAAAGCAAATGTGATAAATGTTTCCTAAGAGCAACCAAACACAGGAAGAACATGTATAAGGTGACGTGCTTGTTTTCAGTATTGAGGATTTATTAAAGATGAGATCCAGTACAGCTGGTGTCCCTCTTGTATGATATAAAGGATTTATGATGTCTCTGGAAAGAAATAAGCATTAAATAATTATACCTTTTGAAATTCTTTTAAGTCTAATGTTTTTTTTCCTCACCTCTACAAGAATTAAAGGTGCAAACATAAACATACATCTTGGGTTCACTTTAAATTAAAACAGACTAATTTAAATATGCTGCACATTTTCACAAAATCATCATCAGCTCCATTCCAAAAATAGTGTTGAGGTTTGGCTTTAAAAGCCGGTCGGTGCTGTGGTCCTGCAGCCTGCATCATGGAGGTGATCCAACACAACAGAGATCCAAGGTGGCGCTCTGCCATTTCCAAAGAGACTCATCTCTGCCTTCTTTTGCTTTGTGATGGTGATGCCAAGCTTTGGAGGGCCTGGCACCGAACGCGCTCTCCTCCTGCTGGTGTGTGTGTTTGCATGCTGTACCATCAAAACACTCACATATACTGTACAAACACACATGCGTGGAGATTAACAGCGATGACAGTTGAGTCACGGGCTGGAACATTGCTTCAGGCAAAGATCAGAGGAAGGAGGTCATCCACAATCCTGCCCCGAAACACAGCGTGCACACAAAAAACAAAAGAGCAAACACAAACCTATGGACACATTTTAAATCATAAAATAAAATAAAAAAACGGGGAAAATAAAAATGAAAAAAATAATACAGTTTCAAGCTTCCAAATCGCAAATATGGTGAACACAGATTCTTCTGATCTTCATTAGCAAACCCAGAATCCAATTACTGGATATTTTATTTCAGACCCTTGCACTTGTTTTTGTGAAGCTCCATGCTGCCATCTTCTTCACATTTTACAGCAAGACAGTTGTTAAAAATTACATCAGAGGCTAGTATCTGTAATATTTTTTGAGCAGTGGTGAAGCACACAGTTTTTAAAGGGGTGGTCAGGCTGAGACCATTACTGACACTGGGGTGGCACAATTTCAGCAAACAGACCAAATAGACTGCCATGCAGAAGGACATGGCTACAGTAATAAGAAGCTTTTTTTTCTGCAACTCTCAATTGATTAAAAAATAAATTCTGCTTTTTAAATTGTTGATAAGGCTCCTAAGATGATTACAATGTATTTCTTTAAAGGTCCTATATGGTGGTAAGATATGAAGATTTCTGCCATTCCTGAAGCACAACCAGTTAGCCTCCCAGCTTTACTAGTGAGGAAGAATTCAGGTGTTTTAAGATCTAAATAACCAATAGTCATCCAGCTCAAACTGTGATTGACACCTCCAGCTGCCAGTCACGGACACCAGCGATGTATTCTTCCTGACAGGGGCGGGGACAGCTCAGAGCCTTTTCAGAACAGCCCGAAAACCAGGAGCTAGACAGTCACGGTGACATGAATCATCTTAGCAGTGTTTTGAACTGAAAGGCTGAATGACACACTGTGGGGACATGTGAGACTTTGATTATTTGCTGAAAAAGGGCACAATATGGCACCTTTAAGATGATTACATGTAATACTCCTCTTAAATTCCCCTTGTTCTGCTCAGAACGCCACCTTGTTGAGAGATCACACTGTGTCCATGTCGCCTTTAGTTTCTTTATCTTAGCTGCAGGTTCTGGGTCTGTGTTACATTGTTCAGCAGTTTGTACCACTTTGTTTCCAGAGTTCTTCAGAGCAGGTTTTATCTTTTCAGTCTTTAGGAGTCTGAGGGTCTAAGAGCTTGAACTAAATCCACACTTAGACCGAAATCACAGACACCAACTTATTATTAAAAGTACATAAATATTTTTTTATGTACATATAAAAAACAGATGCATTATTTGTACTGTCTATACACTGGGTGCAACTCCGTTTTACAGCTATGTGCATTCTTACGGGCTTCACTATCGGTTGTGTCGAGTGTTTCTGTCCCTGTTACTGAGGATTATTTATTTACACGACTGTTCATTTTCTTTCCAAACGGAGTGCGTCGTGCACCTAGACAGCAGTGTGTTCGGAAGTCGAGCAACAGAGAAGACACAGTAAACCTGTAATTTCAGAAGCTGCTTTATTCCTTTAAAGGCCTCTAAAAAAAGTCAACTGCATCAATTTCATTTCATAGCAACAAGCTCTTCAATACATTTTTAAAAAAAAACTCCAACCGAGAGCCGCTGATTAAACAAATCAGAATAATTGGAAGAATCCTAATGTATGCAAAACAGAGCAAAGGGCCCTCCACACTAATAGCAACAAATTTAATGCCTTTTTGAGCAAATTTGTGAAACTGTGTGGGATTTTAGAGCTTTTTCACATGATTTAATTCTATACACCTGTGTGCATTACTTGATTCATTCTACATGTATTCATTATCTGAAATTGTACTCCACGTGTCAAAGAGTACATTTTTTTGAGTTAAACCTTTTTAAAACGTGATTTGCTGCATCACTTTTATACCACAGCATTTTAATGCGTACATCATCAGGCACTGGTATGCTTACTGTTCAGTCTCTATCATCCTGCAGTTTATGTTGTGCAGTTGTGTCACTGGTTACATAGATCAGACATTGCAACTGAGAGTTTTTTTTCCAGACATAAGTGAGGTCTGAACTGGAAAAAATACTGACAAGCTCACAGGTGTAACTCAGTATAAATATTAAGTGCATAGGAGATAAAACAAAATCATATGTTTAAAACTAAAGCTTCTTGCATCCGTGAGCGTCACCTTAAAATCCACTACATCACAGATCAGGGATCATTCCTGGCTGTCATTGGCTATCTAGGCCTTATTCTTTCTCCCTATTGGACAGGTGACACCTGTTCCTGCCAGGCCACAGTATCCATCAGGGTCTTTGCTCAGGTACTGTTGGTGGTAGTCCTCAGCGTAGTAGAACAGTTTGCCCTCAGCTATTTCTGTGGTAATCGGACCAAAACCTTCCTCTGTCAGGACCTGAAGGAAGAAGCACAAAAGATGCAACATTTTCAACAACTCAGTACCAAATTAAAGAATGTCTCTGTGTCCATAAGGTGTATTTTGGATGATAGAAGACATGAACAAAATAAGCATTCAGCACCATGTGAGCATTTCAATCTTCAAACAGTGACTGAAGACAATCTCAACAACACAAACTCAGACTTCCAGAATTTCATATGTGACAAACCTAAAGAACCAAACTTGTCAAATTGCAGGGGAGGGCTTTCTATATCATTACTCTTGTTCAGAATCAACATGTACGAGGTGTGTCAGAAAAGTTCCAGGACTGGTGTCACAAAAGATAGATTTCAAACCCAAACTACAAACTACCAGTTTCATCCTTCAGACGATCACGTCAACAAAGAGATCCTGCAGCGTTTGCTTCATTCAGTGCGCAAGAAGAGGTGAGAGTTGTGGCAGGACAAGTCGTGGCTGCTGCACCATGACAACACACCTACTCACAATGCCCTGAACATCCCACAGTTCCTGGCTGAGAAGAACATCACCGTGCTGGAGCAACCTCCCTACTCACCCCACCTGGCTCTGTGGGATTTTTTCCTCTTCCCCAAGCTCAAGGGGGTCATCAAGGGGACCTGCTTTGAAGACGTGGACAACATCAAGATGGTTGTGACGACGGAGCTGAGGAGGATCCTGGAAGAATCCTTCCAGGAGTGCATGTCGGCGTGACAGAGAAGGCTGGGAAAGTGTGCTAGACTCCAGGGGGATTACTTGGAAGGGAAAAACTTGTAGTTTGTAGTTTGGATTTTCTATATGTCTTTTGTGACAGCAGTCCTGGAACTTTTCTGACACATCTCATATGGCTGAATCGCTCAAATGTTACAACTTTCCATTGCGGAGGTTTGAGTATTTTTCTAGTGAGCAAAGTTGCAGGTGAGCTGGTGCGCTTGAGCTGCCGCGAGCAGGGAGGAGTGAGCGGAAACAGAGGCGACGATATTATACAGCTGCACAGAAGCAACGGTGTACATCTAAACCATTTTGCTGGAAAGAAGGGATTATTTTCATGGTTTCATTTAAAAGCAACTGAAATTCTCATTTTGGTTCTTGAAGATGTTTCACCTCATCCAAGAGGCTTCTTCAGAGGTGAATCACCTTCAGAAAACCTAAAAGAGAAGCCCAATTGCTTTTTACTTAAGCTAACCATGACCTGAATGACTGGGAATCAACATAGACAAACATAAATATGTTACTTTGATATACAGAGATGAGTTTTCAGATTGTAAATCAACGATCGGAGAGGAACATTAAATAAACTTCAACTGTCAGTCATTGCTGGCATACATTCATGAGTGTAAGCGACAAAAGCCAGAACAGAAAAAAAAGGACCTCTGGCCAGATGTACAAACGATACACTCAAAAACCAACCATACATCCTTTCCTGCACATAAACTAAAAAACAGTAAGAATGGCTGCACCTGCAAAACACAGTTTGAGGTTTCTTGACATCTTCTCCTGGTGTGTTGTTGTCTTTACAGATTTCAGTTTAATGGTTAATCCTAAAGTACTGTTTAGCATCATTCTTTGTATTGACATTCATCCTTTTTTACTGTCATGAAGTCCTTCTCAGTAAAAGCACCATACATTAACCATTCATCTTCCTTCTCGTGCTTAAAAGGGATGACTGAGATATCACTGTAATGATTGTTTACAGATACATGTGACAGGCATCCATATGGTAAATGGTACAGGCCCAAAAATAACCACAGCTCTGCATAAGTTCTGACGGAGAAGATCGCAAACACATTTCACTTATTGCTGTTCTTCTCACTAACAGGTCTAATGAGTAGTAGAACAGCCACAATATCAACATGCAAATGGCTGTTTAAAAGTGTTTCTACGTCCATCTGTGGTTGAGTGTGAGAGTGGAAATGAAGCATGTGCCAAGTTATTGGGTTTTATTATAGAAACAACAATAATGGAAGATTACAGTGATCTCTGTGGGAATTCGTTTTTTCAGTAAAACTCAAAGAACACACAAGAAAATTACAAAGAAAAATATAATGTGAATAGAGCATATGATAGGAAATATGGAGGGGAAAACTACTAAACTGTTTCTGTTTGAAATGTCCTTAAAGTTTGGACTGTATGTGAAAGGAAATGCAGATATTCTGGTTTTGCCTCTACAACCAACATTTTTTTTTTATGTCTGTTTGTCAGTGTATCCTGTTGTTGCTTTGCTTGATGCTGGTGTTTGTCTGCATTGACTAAAGTTATTCTTCAAAGTGCCTTTTCGTGGCAGCGGGATTTAACATTTAATCGTGGAGTTTGACTATCCAGAACTAACAACTGCCTTTTAATTACACTGTGACTCTTCAGAATTGTTATTCCAGATATCTTTGTCAATGGTTAAATAACATAAACAATTCAATGCAATAGCATCTTTTTGAAGCAAGCAGCCCTCGCCTACAGCTTGCCGTAGCCTGACGGTACTGCAGGTATCTTCAATGTCATTTTAACGAGTCAAAACTCTAATCTAAATTAACTGTAATTATATTGTGACTCATCATAATTCCAGCTCAGGATGTCACTCCGATAACCTTTATTTAAGATATCTGAAAAGGACAATGTAGACATCTTGAATTCAGGGGAACTGAAGATATTTTAAACTGGAATTGTGATTGGTCAGAGTAAACCTGAAAGATCAGGTTAATGGTAAATGGACTGCACTTATATAGCGCTTTTCTACCTTAGCAGCACTCAAAGCGCTTTACAATGTGTTTCTCATTCACCCATTCACACACATTCACACACCAATGGCATCAGAGCTGCCATGCAAGGTGCGTCCTGCCATTGGGAGCAACTTCAGGTTCAGTGTCTTGTCCAAGGACACTTCGACTGTGGAGGGGCGGGGGATCAAACTGCTAACCTTACGATCAGAGGACAACCACTCTACCACCTGAGCCACATCGATACCAGACACTAGAATCACATCTCGTCATAATTCAGCTGCACATAACTGCAGTGTGAACTGTGGCTATGTGTGATAAGAAACCTCATATACATGCATGGTAAAAAAGAATTACAAATATATTTAGTCTCACTATTAAAATATTAAAACAGCTTGCTATGTCCATTAGCATCTTACAGACAGGTGACAAATCATCCCTCTAGGAGAGTTACACAGACTTAAAGAATCAACGCCAAGAAGTTGTTCTGGTGGCACACCATGGCCCGACGCTTTACTACGACACTTCATGATGATGTTGCCTTTAAAGTGCCACTTATCTGTACATGTCTGTGTGTTTATGTATGTGGCGCTCCAGGCAGGGCAGTACCTATCAAAACAGACAATTCACTCACACACATCGGATTTATAATGAGGTTGGAGATGACACCTTCTCCTCCTTGTGATAAAAATGACTAAACCAGATGGCGTGTGGGTAAATTAAAAGACAAAGAGCAACGGCGGCGAGCATGAAGACACACAGTGATAAAAGTTTCATTCCTGACGGAGGGCTGGTTGCTGTGTTTTTAGCATGTGTTTACAGCTAAAGCTTCCCATTTGATTGTATCTCGGGGTGGTAGAAGAGATAAATCTGGTGCGACATTTACACATTTAGCCTTTTATCTGCAAAGCTGCTGTTCTTCTTCTTGACACGACAGCTACAAAGAAGGAATCCAAAGCCCCCGAAGTGACTGCACCAGGTTTATGGTAATTATCCTGTTGGTTGCCCTAAATAATTACTAAACAGAGCTATTATTCAGCCTGTTGTTTCTGTGGCTCAGCTCGGGATCATCATCATAAAGGACGGACTGGGTTTTTTATTTTAGCCAAATAAAAATGTCAGAGTTGCTTCACGTTGATTTGGTTAAAATTTTATGTGAATGCAAATGCTGGCGGCTGAGCATTTAGGTTAATTATTTAAAAGCTGGGTGCTTCGTATTATTTTGAGTATCTACTCTACTGGAAACCCATCTCGTACGATATTTCACAGCTTGATTATACGCTCCATATCCTGTGATTATGCGGCTTACAGTATGTGACTGTTTCGGATTTATAATTGACAGAAATGTCACATGTTAAAAAGTAGCACAAGCTTGTTATGGGCAGCTACTGTTTGGTAAAATTCTATTTATTTCTTTAAGTACTCCTATCAATATTACATTTTGGGGGGGAAATTAGACAATATTTTTAAACTATTTGTGCTGATATTCCTAATCTTTGTCTTGCTGTGTTTAAATCTAAGCAAAACAAATGATTTTTATATTTTATTTTTATCACCAGCACTGTTGCCTCGCAGCAAGAAGGTTGCCGGTTCGCGTCCCGGTGGGGGATCTGCGTGGAGTTTGCATGTTCTCCCCGTGCAGCGTGGGTTCTCTCCGGGTTCTCTGGCTTCCTCCCACACAGTCCAAAAACATGCTGAGGTTAATTGGTGATTCTAAATTGTCCGTAGGTGTGAATGTGAGTGTGCTTGGTTGTCTGTCTCTAAGTGTAGTCCTGTGATAGACTGGTGACCTGTCCAGGGTGTCTCCTGCCTTCACCCTAAGTTGGTTGGGATAGACTCCAGCCCCCCCGCGACCCCAGTGAGGATTAAGCGGTGTATAGATAATGGATGGATGGCTTTTTATCACCACAGGCATAACAGACGCAGCCCTGATCAGACTACTGTAAACGTATAACCGATTTGCATCACGTCCATCATATCACAGGATGAATGACACTGACACTGAAAATAAACCGTGTTAATTTAAGCACCATACATCATCAACCACAGATGTCATCAGTGTCATTACATCCCTCATCCCCCCCTCTTCTTTTATTCCTCCATCCAACGTTTTGTGTATCAGCCAGAGAACCAGAGGCCTCAGGGCGGTGGCCTGGACCCGAAGCCCAGCAGGGTGCTTCTCCACTGGGCTGAATGGCTCCAGAGATACAGAGCCCCAACTAGCTGCTTGATTTGATGTTTGGATTGAAGTGTCTGACAGTTAGATTCAGGTTCATTCTGTTTGCTAACAGG